ACCGTGTATATATTTGTACGCAGATGTTGTACATGTAAATAATTTATAGAAATTATAGCCTATATAAAATTTTATCCTTCTATGAATGTTGCTTTGTTTATTTCAATTGTTACAATAAATTGAATTTTATCTTGAAAGCTAATTGTGTATAAGTAATACATTGTATCACTTACAACCAACATATGGCAGCTAGTGCTTAGTGGACTGCTGTATGAACAGGCCTTTCTTTTTCATTAGTGGGTAAATCACATCTTTTTGGCTCTCAATAATTCTTTCAAGTTTTTATATAAAGTTATTTAATAAAAATAACTATAAATCAGAGAGATAGTCTCCCATTGGATCTAAGACATCATGACGTCACGCTTTGTTTACATTTGCGCTTTTCCTATTACATGTTCGTCCCTGCTGGCTCAAATAGGGAAGCACACATGTAAACAGAGCATGTCATTATATTTAGGTCTATTGAAATGATGAACAGAATCTGTTTGAGAACACACCATGACAATCAGACCCCCGCTTTTTGAAGTAACTGGAGGAATCGTGGCTAACAGTAGTGTAGGCATATAGGTGGGGTGGGCGTGGACATTGGCCGATGTAGCTCCCTGACCTACATACATGTACGTTCTAGATCGCCTGATCTAAACTCAATGGTTCTGGACTATTGCTGAATAGTAACATGACGTAGCAACCAGGGGCAGATCCGGAGGGAGGTGTTGTGGGTCAGAAACACGCCCCCCCCCCTTCTTTGACTGGGCTCCCTTAGTAACAATAAAAGAAATAACGTGCCTGACGGGCCCGACCCCCCCCCCCCCCCCCCTCCAAATTTTTTCCTGGATCTGCCCATGGCAACCGATTAAAAAGATTTTTGGTGTAATGAATTGGGGGGCGTGGGGGGGGGGGGGGGGCAACAGCCCCCCCATGAAACCTTGTCGCCCCCCCCCCCTCAACGAGATTTTGAGTGTTTTAAAAAAATTATCATTGATCTACGTGACGCCCCCCCCCCCCCCCCCCCCCATGAAATGTTTCCAGCCCCCCCCCCCCTTCACCCTGAAAAATTCCTGGCTATGCCACTGACTCGACCCTTTGACTTCCCTTGTTTTGTTAGGTCTATTTTATACTAGCAAGTAGCCACCGTACGTAGTATCACTAAGGGAATAACAGTGTGAGGAGCCGGTCTTCACTGCGTGATAATGACCGGGTGTGGGGTAGCCCAGGTTGGACGAAGTCTTCATTGCAATACGACTAACAACGTAGGGAGGAAAGGGAGTCCACCAGGGCTAGGGTGTGGGGGTGACCGCTGTAAATGGACCGAGACGAAGTCGAGGTCCATTAACAGCGGTCACCCCCACACCCGGTCATTATCACGCAGTGAAGACCGGATCCACATACTGTTATTCCCATTAATAAATACCTTTATAACGAAATAACAATTAAAATGCTCCAATTTTGTGACTTTTTTCCGGCGATATTTCCAGACTTTTTGTGTTCATGTTCATGATTCATGGGCCATATTTTAGCTTAAAGCTATAACGACGTAAACTCAACAGAAACTGCTGCCGTAGCAAAACAAATTACAACAATGTTTTCATATCTTTACCTGATGGAGGAAGCTGAATCTCGTTTACACATTCCTTGAGTCCGGAATTACAAAGATGCTTGGTTTAGGAAAGGTAATATGTCAGTGGATGAAGTGTTTCAAAGAAAATAAATCGTAGATCTACGTTTTCGTCGTCGTAAACATCTTCAGTATATGGTGGTTGTACCCTAACGTGGCGCACTTCGAAGCATACCCAAATTTCCTCGTGTAGTGTTGCCAAACCTCTTTGTTGACAAACCTCAAATTCATGCAGTGAAATACTGGTACTTTTACCTTTATTAATGCTTGCTATTTAACCTCTGTGAACAATTTCGGTTTCATAAAATTTAAGCCGAAATTAAAAAACGGTGGCGTCCGGAATTGGGCACAATTTGGCGGAGTGTTCCTAACGTGGCGCACTTAAATAAATCTCGGGAAATTCCAAATTAACATTTAAGAATTTCTGAAAACTTGATAAATTCTGATAAATCATTATTATCTCTACTTACATACCCAGCCAGATGTTTGTCACAAAATTATTTCTTATTTTTCGGGGCATTTTCAAAGGGTTAACTTTGCACTTGAAAATAAAATCGGAAATCACGCCAAAATAAGTTTTTCTTTTAACTTTGTAGCGGGTAAATAATTCGCGATTTATGAACGGGAGTGTTTATAACTTGATGAAATTTCACTGTCTGTGAAATTTCAGTTAAAACTTTTGCTCTAGCTAGGCGCTACAGGCGAGAAATCGAAAGTGCGCCACGTTAGGGGGCGCGCCACGTTAGGGTACATCAACAATATACTGCACTGCTGTACGATGTCGTTTCAAAACTTCCTTACGCGCGCGCACGCACGCATCCCTAGCAACTGTGTTTGCGTACGCGCGCGTCAGTCTCACGCGATGGGGGTTGAGCGCATGTGCAGTGCTCAATTGTTAAAAGCTACCGTAGGACTGTTACTATATTTTGACCAATCATTGGCTTGCATGGGGCTGAACGGGGCTTGGTTCAGGGGCCATTTATTCGCTTGATCTTTGAAGCCGGTCCATTATCACCGTTAATGACCGGCCACGTGATCGAGTCTCGACCATCAGAAACCATCAACTCTCCAAGGTATTTATTAATATCAAGTGAAAACAAACGGGCCGATTTCGATTTCCTCAAAGCATGGAGGAAGGAACCAAGGGTAACTCTCAACCAATTAGCGAGCTGGCCGACCAGTGGAAAAGGCATTGAGACCTCCTGCTGCTGCGCAAGATTTACGACCTTGATAAGGATCCTTTACTCACTGTGTGTGTCTTGCCGCTGCCAAAAAAGACAACTTACCTCGCGCCGTACGCGTACTATGCACAACCATAGCACAAACACATAAAATGATGACAACTCACA